TGACAAAAAACAATCAATCCTGGAGGGATGGACGTGCCTTTGGCTGTATGTGAGACTTTGCTTGTTGCTTGCAGATGTTGGTCAGACAATCAGTTGGATTATGGAGCCAATCTGATAGGGAGAAGACACAGCCTCCGTTTCTACTTTTTAGCCATCTAAATGTCCTTATTTGTACCAGCTCCAAGAGCCTCCTTCTGTCTGAGACTTAACATTAAAACTATAAACTTGTTTAAACCTTCTCAACCTAGGGTTTTGAGACTTTACTATGGCTTCCCTCTTTTCATTCTTCTCCATTCTCTCTTTCTATTTTTCCTTTCTATTAAATTTCTTTAATTCCTCAAGTTTTGGCTTAGGTTTCTAGCGTCGTCTAAGTTTTGATTTTGTTTCTTGGGTTTTTGAGTCCTCTTCGATGGTAGTCCTACCCTGATGGTCACTAGCGAAAAGCAGTGATAGTTAACTTCATGTGATGGAGTTTTTGAGGAAGGAGCTGTCGGACATGCCTAAAGGGATGGATGAATTAGTGGATGAATTGGGAAGTAGGTTGTCCTTGTTGAAGGAGCAGGAATCTGGCCTGTACAGAGCTGGGGTGGGTTTTTGACGGTGGCGAATTCAAAGTACAATTTCACAATGGTGTGCCAATGCGTTTAAACGCTTGGTGGTGGCAACAGCTGGGTGATGTTGGCTAGAGGATTATTTGGGTACAACAGTGCACGCAGAGGAGGCACAACAATTGTGCTGGAGTGAATTTCAGGAGACAAGGGATTGACAATTTGGCACAAGTTTTAGTCAAGAATTGCGTAATTAGAGATTTTTTAAATTTTAATGCTTTGGATGAGGGGTTTTGGTGGTGAATTAGGAAAATTAGGAAAGGGACTCTTTTAATTTATGTTAGTAAAATTTTGGTTGTAATTAAGATTATTTACTTACCCTCTCCATTCAACTTTAATAGACTTAAATTTTAATTTAGGGTATTTAAATTTAGTTATTTATTTTTCTTTGAGAAGAGTTTTATATAAAAAAACAAATTTTAGATTTTTTTTATTTAAGAATATGAATTTTTTTGAATTTTTAAATCAGTAATAAATTTTCCCTTTTTCTATTTAAAGGCACAAACTTTATTGTTGTTTCTATTTAAATATGCAAACTTTGCCTTATTTCGATTAAGGTTGCCATTTAACCATCATTTCTATCTAATAAATCGTTAAATAAAAAAGTACAAATTTTGTATCCTTATTTTTTTTTATCATTTGACTTAAAAAGTTTATATTTTAAAATAGAAAAATGATAAACATTATTTGCATCTTTTCTTCTTTTTTTTTGAATCTTTATTTGCACCTTTTCTTACTTTTTTTTTTTTTAAGAATATCATTTAATGTACTTACTCTTACTTTATTCTTATTTTAAAATGATAATTACAAACTATATTAAATATGAAAGCCTATTTAAATAGTGATTAATTAAGGATAAAAATAAAATTTTATTAATTAATTATTAGATTTTTTTTTATTAAACAAAAAAATTAAGTCTTATAAATTTGTATGCCTGCTTAAATTTAGATAGGATTGGAGACAATCACATGGCATTGTTGTAGCCCAACTTAAATTTGTAGCAGTTCATTTTTATGAAAGAAGTTTCTCCTTTAAAAAAAATTAACTATAAACTTGTAATAGTAACATTAAAACTATTTTTATTTATATCTCTATATTAATCATAATAGTACTTTAACAAATAAACATGAAACTAAATGAATTTTTTAATTAGAGTTGAAAACGTATAAAAACATAATCTAAAGACTAAAAACCACGGAGCCTTAGGCTCCATTCAATTTAGTTGT